CCGCTCTAAATCGACCTCATTCACCCTCACCTTTGTCGATGGAATCTCCGATGTCGGAGTCAAAATACTCATTTCCTAATTCGACCTCGACCCGTGATCCAAAATCAATGTCATTTAAACCGTCATCCGCCGATCAAAACATGTCTTCTCCAAGCTCGGAACCATTCTCAACACGTTCTCTTGCACCACTCGAGCCTCAACATTCTGCCATACCATCTTACCTGACTGCTCAACGACGAGGTTCCATCACTGATCCATCGCTCCATCTTTCTGTCCCAAATCCGGAGCTTGCAAGGCAATATTCTCAACCAGATGTTAATTTTCCTTCTACATCAAGCTCAGGAACGATCTCATCGGAACGTAGAGGCTCATTCGTGACGGATCAGTATCCTCCTTCACCCCCTTCGCATTCTTCCTCCGTAAAAAGTGATCATTCCTTCACTCCGCTGGAAACACGCAAACTCAGGGATTCGTTGCCATCCATCAGTGCTGGCGCGAGTCCAATTAGGGATGGCTTTCCGGGTCCGCTAATTAACCCTGCATTCCAGGCACAACTACAGACACGTCGTCATTCGATCGCCGTTGGTGAAGTGGCCGCGTCTCTTAAACAAAAAGGAAACATCCCTGCTCCCAATCATCCAATGGCTTCCGACGATTATCCTGTTAAACGGAGAGAATCTGTTGGCGATCCAAACATACAACGGTTATCATTGTACGATCGCCGAAGCTCTTACTCAGCTCCGTCCAGTCCACCTGCCCCACCTTCCTCCTCTCTCGTCCCTTCGGCAAAGCTTAATGTTCAGGATGTGGAAAATAGTTTACAGGCTCATACCGAATCGGGTACAGCTCCTCCATATAGCGACAATGGTTCGGATCACCAAGGGACCGGCAGTATTTCAACAAGTCATCTCTCCGATCAGAATGATCACGCACCTGTTTATCCACCTTTCAACAACCTTCGATTATCGCAAATCGTCCAAGAGGAGGTTAGTGCTCCCATACTAGCCCGACGCGCATCCATGCCTGTCATGACGTTCCCATCGAGATATTCTGATCCTGCTCAACAAGATGGTGCTGTGCCGATGGACGTTGATCGTTATCGTACTCAAGTTTACCAGAATCACCATCATACATATCATCCTTATGCTTACGATTATCCAAATTATATTCAACCACAAACGCCCGTAAAAGAAACACCATATTCACGTTCACCTGAACTAAGGATATCCCATAAGCTTGCCGAGAGGAAGAGAAGAAAGGAGATGAAGGAGCTCTTTGATGAACTTAGAGATTCGTTACCAGTTGACAAGAGCTTGAAGACAAGCAAATGGGAAATATTGAGTAAAGGTGAGCATGCATTGCATGAGATAATTGTTTTCAACCTGTTCGCATGTTCTCTAACCACCACATCTCTAAACAGCTGTGGAATTCATCAATAATCTAAAGCACAATCAAGATGAGATGACCAAAGAAGTCGAATCGTTGAGACAACAACTTGCCGCTTTTAAAGGATGTGGTAACAGGTAGGCCTGTGAAATCAGTATGATGGCATCTCTTCGCAAATACCTTGACGAAATGGTCAACGTCTAGACTCGTATTCATCGTGATCTTTTTTAAATGACACTTGAAAGCAGTGATATCAGTACGGCACCGACATCGTCGTGAAAGTTTTAATCATCATGGAAAAGTACAAAATAATCTTTATCTTTTTGTATTTATCTATTCTCAATGAATGGATGCGAAATTTCAATTTTTTGTTTGTCAATCATTGTTCCGCATCATTTGTATCATATATTTGAAGAAAAAAATTATTCCCTCTTGCACTTTTGTACATTTTCCTTTGTATCCTTTTTTCCCCTTGACTCTTTTTTTCTCCTTTCATACCCTTCCCGATGTAATTACTTGATTCGTTTTTGTTCTCAGTCTCTTTCCTCTAACCTTTCTAGCTGAAACGACTCTTGTCGATTTTCTCGTTTTTTCATTTCGATCTCCTTAATCCTTTAGAATGAGGAACATTTTATTGATTATTTATGAGAACCTGGTGCTTCTGCAAAATTTACGGATCCTAAAAGGGCAAAAGAAATTTTGGTTGGCTGTACTACTTACTACTGGCCTACGAAATAAAGAAAAATCCAAAGATAAAACAGGCTCCCGAAATAGGTTATGAAAATCAATCATTGTTGACCCAGGAAGCCTTAAAATTTATTTATCATTCAAATGTCTCGCATCTATTCGTTCGATGTATAAATATTGAATGTGCTAAATCTAAAAGATCATCGTTATCAAGTATTAAATAAAACAAGTAACTTAAAAAACATTAATTGATTTGGTGATCATTTATGATAAGTTTAAATGAGCATTTTATTGAAAGAAGAAAGTAAAACCTTAAAGGATTGATCATCTACTTTTGGGGATTTGCAAACGTAATAATCTTACTAAATAACTATAGAAAAATAAATAGAATAAAAAGTTCATTCGTCCAACAATTCTAGTGATCACTTTTTTTTTCACGCATATATAGGTTTATTCTACATTATAGACATAATAATATCGAATTACCAAAATTTTGAATACATTGCACTACCGTGTCATCAGGGTAATTGGTTGTTGATTGATGTTCATTCCATTAGTGCGATATTATAAGATTGATCAATCTGCATGAGTTAAAAAGACGAGATCTAAGTAATTTGTGTCCTTGATAATATCGGTGTGTATTATCAATTGCAAGATATTGTTGCGAATGATACCTTGGAAATCCAGTCCTGCATCTCCTG